ACATTTCATCATACATTTACCACATGTCGATTTACTAGGCCTATATCTTTAATATTCTTATGAATGTATTCCTTTTATTTTTATGAAAAGAAATACATTCACACATAAATAAAATATCTTCATTGTGTAATGTAATTTTTAAAATTATGTCATATCAGTTATCTCAAATGTGATTCATTCATTAACAGAGTATTGATATGTACAAAGCTTTAGTCGTAACAGGACAACAAATAAATACAAAATACTTGATTCATTCTCATGATTTTATTCAGTATTACAAATTTCTATCATAGAATTTAAAGAATAAAAATTCACAGATAATTGAAACATAAAAAGGGTTATTTTTAGCATGGTTCACACAGCAATTACGCGCAGATGACATCACATCATGAACATACATAGGTACACCAAGACTATATATGGGATTAGAACGGTTTTTTTTTTTGCCAAGAAAACTTGATGAGTTGACAAATAACACATTCTAATTCATGAATACGATTGCAGCTTCATACATATTAATTTCTCCTCTCGCCATGTAATGTAAGTGAAATGCCTAGACAGTAAGCTGATGGAAGGCGAGGAGGTTTTGGGACTATGTGGGGAAAGCGCAGAAAACAATCCAAACAGACACACATAGGTCACCATATTATGGAATCATAGTTTTTACAGAAAGCATCGAAAACCCTGTCTGCGTAACCCCAATGAAAAAAGTGAAAAGAAGTCACCCTATTTCAGTGTAAGCTGGGGAGGAGGTGTTACTTCAATGGTCAACTACGAGTTGTGTCATTTTGGTTGTTAACTTAAAGAAAAAAAATAACTGACTACATTATTGCTATAAAATTAAACTTGTATATATAATAATGGAAATCATTTAGACATTTTCCTGTGACCAATTAGAGGACCTTAATAAACAATCAGTAAATAAATATATAAAAGCTTTGTGTTAAACTTTATAAACTTTGTAAAATAGGCTCTAAGAAATAAATATAAAGTCAAATAGGAGTCATTGGTTATTCTCAGTTTCTATTTATAGATATTATAGTGGATGGCGCACTTATCAAAAACCAAAAATTCTCAATACATCAGCTAGCAAGCATCATGAAAAAATGTTAATTTTTAAAATACCCAGGAATTAAAAAGACCAACATATACAGTACATACATGGATTCGACAGTATAAGAAAAAATAGAGATCCCATTGACTATAGATATGAAAGAAATTCTTCCTCTAATTCTACACTCTAATAAAAATATATTGTATGTGGAAAACCTATTAAAATTAGTGTCACAAGACTGACAATATAGTATACTGTATTATTGAACTTCAACAAACTATATAGTTCTCTTCCACCTTTTATGTAAACTAAAACAAAAAATCTATCTCTACTTTTACAGATACAAAATTTACATACAGTATAAATACGGTGCCAAATATACATACAGTTTAGAAATGACCTACAATCCCAATCGAATCTAAAAATAAATGTTTTTGGTTTGAAGACCACTAGCCGCCAACACTGGGCAGCTCAGCATGTCAATGCCCTACTCAAACCTCCCAAAATTTTGGCTATTGATTTTCTAAATTTTTTTTCTAAAATCAGTCTAGCAAGAGAAGGCAAATTACAAGAAATATTTGGTTGCCTCCATTTGTTGATAACTCCTGTGTTTCCCTCAATTTTTTCCTCCCCTGTTATTGGAAATAACTACTAACAACATAGGTAAGGTGAGACCTTTTTATACTTTGTTTAGCAAACAATAATAATCATTTCAAATAAAAATAACATTTTATTTTTGGCCAATTAGTGCACCGGTCACCATGGAAATATGGAAATTTTAGAAAAAAATAAAGTTTTTCTGTAGTTTTATTATGCCCACCGTTGTATGGAAATCTCCAAAAATATGATATGTATATTTCTTCCTAATTTAATTTAACTTTAGAGCATTTAGCCATCACACTACACTGTTTACATTCACCAGTAAAATTTTATTTTTATTTTCTCCTCTGTTTGGATGATTTTAGCGAAATTATTTGCTATATAAGAAAAAAAAAATTTAATTTTTTTTTCCGCACTCTGAAGATCTTAAAAAAGAAAAAAAGGTAGCGAAACAGGGTATAATATAGTCTCACCTTATTGGGAATAACTACTAATAACATGGGTAAATAGACACATTAAAATTCTAAGCACTAGTAGGATATACAATTCTGTAGAATTCATCTATTCACACTCAAGGCACAGTAATCTTAACCTTTCATTTGTGTATGATACACAATAATAAAACAATTAATGAAGTGATAATGAATAACATAATTAGATTTAAATATGCAAATTTTAATGAATACAGGTATGTATGAAATATTTAATATGGAAGTGATTATGAATATGAATGATTTAATATGGAAGTCACAATGAATATCTATGATTTAATATGCAAATGACAATGAATATTTATGATTTAATATGCAAATAATGACGAATATGTATGATTTAACATGCAAGTCACAATAAATATGTATGACTTAATATGCAAGTCACAATGAACATGTATGATTTAATATACAAGTAACAATGAATATGTATGATTTAATATGCAAATAACAATGAATATGTATGAGATACCAATGAACTCTTATATATTGGCTCGGCTTTGCAACCTCAAGTGTCCACACTATCAAATTTTATGTAGCAAATAAATGTGACATGCCCATATTTGGGAGTAAATGACATCATCACACAAATTTGTCACAAAAACTGTTTTATGCCTATATTGTACATGGTCATGATGTCACCATGACCATACATATGTCACATATCTTTGTCAAATAAAATGCAATAGTCAGGCCAGGGCTTTCTATGTTAATTTTAACATTGAATCCCAATAAGTTTTACAAATACCGATGTCGTGTTGTTTATCTTATGATTTACAGTGATTGAATGCTTTAAAATGTGACTTTAATAATGGGGGTTATTTCTTTATGTATGCCTGTAGAAATCAGATGATCTCTTTTATCAAGAGATGCCCGAATGGGGAACCCTGAATGGAGGGCCGAAAGTGGGGCCAATCGAGACAACACTACCCAGGGGCATGCCCCTGCGAAATTTTTTGTTTTCTAGACGACCAAAGATAACCCTTAGGGGATCAATTTTTTCTTTTTTTTTCTCCATTTTTCCGGACCAGGGCCCCCCTCCCCCACTAAATCCGACCCTGTACTCATTTGCCTGCAATTAAATTGTTTGTATGAATAGTATTCAACAGGTGTTAATACAGATATACTAGTATACTCCTTTAGACCACAGATGATCCATAGAAGGGTCAAGAGATTGTGAGACAATTGACCTAGCCTTATCCCCACCCTAATCAACCCACTTTTATTTTATTGTAGTTCTGTTATTGGGTTATTTATTTATTTGGTATTTCATCATGATTTTATAATTATTTGTGTAGATAAAAATATAGACGTTTATAAAATTTCTCTATTCAGAAATTCATACAGAGTACAAGATGGTGTATAGAAAAAAGTTCAAGGTTTTATAAAAAGAAGTGAATTTATCTTTCTATACTTTAAATTTTTATATGATATTCATGATAAGTGTGTAAAATAAGGCACTGGTCCTTACAACCTAAGACCTATAAATGAGATTTTGAAGAGCTATTGTACAGAAAAGATACATATGATTTATAGGCTAAACAGAAAAAAATGAAAACCAACTGTGGAAATTGTAATGTCGCAAAATAGAATGGAAGGGAAGAAGATATGTTATGTACATTAAGCCAATGCAATACTGAATATATTGTATTTTCTCAAGGTTACAGTATATCTACTAAGCAGTAAAATTTTTTATCATAATCAGCAAATAGATCTATCTTTAACACTGTAATGTTATAATGTACTCCATGTGGAATATGAATTTCTTTGTATATTTCAACTGCAATGAGCTTGAAGGCACACCTGCCATCGCGCGCGTGTAAGCAAATTAAATGTATACAGTGGTGTGCTCTTGAATGTGTCAACTGGGGGGGGGGGGGAATCCCATCAAGTCTGATGAAGAATACAAATCAATGACCGCCTACACCCTCGGTAAGGGTCCCAAAATAAAATCGTGGGTGGGGTTAATGGAGAGACATTTTAGAGACCAAATTACTAAGGATTGGTAATCACAACGACCAGATGCGGGTTGTTCATGCTTTTTTGATAAGGGTTGTGCAAATCCCTTGCATTACCCCCTACCCCACACCACCGCATACCAAGTTCCATGAAAATACTCTCATCAATGAAGGTACTCTCATCTCTTTTTGGCCTAGATTGGGGGGAGGGGAGGGGTGGGAGTTTATCGTAATTTGGACAAATTTTGATGGAGTATTAATATATAACATGAACAGATACTGGTACTATGCTAAAGTGCAAAAAGTCTTATTTAAATAATTATTAAATGAAAAAAGTTAATAATAATAATAATTCTTTCTTATACAAGTTATTTAATATTATAAAATGTATTGAAACCCAAGACTTTGCCAACTACCAATTGATATAAAACCACATGAATTATTATGGCCTTAATAATTATAGGGTTCTCACTATCTGAGATTTGATTGGTCAATCATGACCTCTTCTTAAGCTTTGCTAGCTCCAGCGGCACAAGCAGCACAGCAGATACAGCAACAGCACAGGCCAATTATAATGTATGTGGCATTGGTCAGCCATAATGCAAAGTAGTACAAGGTCCCGTTACAGTAGTCGGTTGCCAATTCGTTGTTTGTATCAGGAGAAGTTCCGTATATCCACACATTCCCTATACATAAAGAATAATGTAATGATGGAACCAAAAATAAATACAAACAATATTTTCTGTTAAGGATTGAACTTAGCTGTGTAGCAGTGTGTTCCCTCTTAACAATATTTTCTGCTAAGAATTGAACTTAGCTGTATAGCAGTGTGTTCCCTCTTAACAATATTTTCTGCTAAGAATTGAACTTAGCTGTATAGCAGTGTGTTTCCTCTTAACAATATTTTCTGCTAAGAATTGAACTTAGCTGTATAGCAGTGTGTTCCCTCTTAACAATATTTTCTGCTAAGAATTGAAATTAGCTGTATAGCAGTGTGTTCCCTCTTAACAATATTTTCTGCCAAGAATTGAACTTAGCTGTATAGCAGTGTGTTCCCTCTTAACAATATTTTCTGCTAAGGATTGAACTTAACTGTATAGGAGTGTGTTCCCTCTTCTGAATAAAGTAGATTTAACTGAAGTATATAGGAGCCTGCTCACTCTTCTGAAGGAGTGGATCCCAATGGGGGGCTAAGGGACCATGTCGAAGAAAGCTACTCGCTTATCTATTCTGAAAATTTAATGGAACCCATCCATTTGAAAAATTCTGGATCTGCTCCTGATGATACATAATATCAATATCTATTATTATAACCTTAACTAGTAATTATTATAACAATATATAGCACCTCCCTGTTCCTATCATTGAGCTTAATATTTTCAAACAATTATTTGCTAATTTCAACTTTCATTTTCTTGTCCCATTTACGGCAATATCAGACTTCGCAAGTTAGTAAAATGCATTTCCGCAACAATGTCTTCAAAATTTCCGTAGTAAATGAAAAATTTCCATAGCACCTAATAATTTGCCTTGAGTGTAAAATATAGGTTGCTTAAATTATTGGTACAGGATAACAGCTATGGGACAGGATGAAGATTTAGGGGCCATTTTTTCTTACTTTTCACAATCATTTATCCGTAATCTGAACAGCACAAGTTGTCTAGGGACAATGTACATAAGGGTATCTTCGCACACACAGCATAAGACTGGCATAGCTTACGCCAGCATAAGCTAATCTATGGATTAAAATTCCAAAGTCTTCACACAAACAGCATTCGGTATATTAACACCGGCGTTAAACTAGTAGTAATATAGGCCTATGGGGGAATAGTTTTCAGCTTTAAATGATGTACGGGTTCTTAACAGTAGTAAAATATTTACAGTGTATCATTTAACTTTTAAATCTGTGAATTGTTTGAAGTGAACTGATATGATTACTGTATTTTAAATGAACAATTTTACTTCTGATTTTTCAGCTAGCATTGTGAACAAATTGTTGGTATTGCAGGTTTTAAATAGACAGTTTGAATAGGTTAAAATATCTTACAAAACACAATCAACAAATCATACATTATAAACTAGGTAAAATGCAATAGAAAAAGAACCCCTTTACCATTTCGTTAATAGAGAGCACAGGAAAGGGATTAAACTATCTAATCCATTGCAATCATGGTTGGTCAATCTCTTGAAATGAGGTCAAATCATTCAAGCATCACTGGCGTTAGCTCCGTGATGTTAACTAATCTGGGGTCTGCAGGTAGCGTTAATAACGCCATGGAGGTGGCGTTCTGAGTGGCGTGAGTAACACCACGGCCTAGTTCACACACAAAGGCATACGGTACGCCAGGCTCACGCCGTGTATGTGAACATACCCTAAAGATCTTGATGGAGAAGTCATTGTTTAGACCTGTCTATTTATGGGTTAAAAGCCTACGATAAAATTTCTGTAGTATTTTTGTCTATTCCATATGTCCATAATTAGGCAAAATTTTTGCAGCAACTATGAAAGTTCCATACTAATAGAGAAGTCTTCAATATGATTACCCCCTCGCAATGTATTTTTTTTTGTGTAGTTGGGTATGCCACTTTACCTACATGTTGCGCCTCTCAACCCAGGGGTACATGTGGGTACATGTGGGTACCTGGTAGGTTCAAATTCCAAAGTGTGTCAGGAATAGCTATGTATGAGGGCCACGTCGGAACAAGTTTTTGAATTTTGAAGAGTAATGTTTCATTGTGCGTTTTATTACATCAAGCATCATCATTATGGGATGTCATAACATTATGGGATGTCATTAAATGAGGCAAAATATCCACAGTCTTATTTCACTATCTACTCACCACAAATAAACCAGGCAAAGAGAAAGCAGCCAATCAGGTGGCTACATGCTCCTTGTTTTGATGTTTGTGTCTCTTCCCCTTCTTCTCGCCTCCTGGTGAATCGTTCGCAAAGGTCGATCAAGTTTTTGACCACCGTGAAGGCTCCCCCTACTATGAGATATATCGGAATAAACTTCTGTGCAGGGCAGTCATCTTTATACATTGCTCCTAGAAAACATTGAGAGAAAAACTGGATGATTTAATTTTCTGTTCTAGGTTAACTGGTTGACCAATAAAACATATGATTACTTTAACCAATCAAAATACTTGGTTGCTTAACCAGTCAGAATGCTTAGTTGCTTTAACCAATAATAATAATAATAATAATAATAATAATAATAATAATAATAATAATAATAATCATGTACTTTCTATTTATGGATACTGCAATAAACTGACTATGTTGTTTTAATGATTTATAATATATAGTTGCTTTTAACCAATCAAAATCAAACATATTATTTGTTAAGGCAACTAAACAGTTAAATTGAAAAGCAATTAAACACTTCGACTGGTTTAATCAAACAGAGATTTTGATTGGTTAAAACTTCAAATTCTGACTTTCAACCAATCATTCAGATTTTGAATGTTAACTTACCAATGACAATCATAGTGATCGGGATCGCCAGGATTAATGCCATGATAATGGTACAACATACTGTGGAATAAATAATCATCATCAACTTAATCATTATAATCATAATCATCATCATTATTATGATCATCACCTTAATCATACTCATTATAATCAACATAATAATCATCCTCTTAATCAAAGTAATCATCATCTACCTCTTCATCGTCACTGTCGTCATTGACATTATTATCCTCTCATCTACATCCTCTTCATTATCATCATCCTTCTCACCATGTCTTTTAAATATAATTGTCTCTATTGTCGTTACCACTATCGTCGTCATCCCCATCATCCTTAATTATATAACATAAACATTGTTTTTGAGTACAAATCTTACGTGTGTTTAGCAATATCATGATAACTTTTACAAAAAAGTCCACTATCCCAGAAGAACCGGCCTTCGCCTCTTTCATCTCGCCAAAAATGGACTGATATGAGGGCGGTGCATCTAAAACAAAAAAAAAACCCAAGCGATTATATAAGCAGGGATTCATAGTGGGCTGCACAAATAGTTTTGTTATTTGATGTTTATGAAACCATCTTCCTATTTACAAAACTCAGGGAATGAATACAGAAATTTTCTCTTGAAGAGCCTAATGATAATATTAATACTAATAATTGTATAGTTTTATTGTATTACAAGGCTGATATCCTGAAGGGTGCTTCTACAATAAATCAAACGTTCCTTTTTAAAATTCTATAATTAGAAGGCGCTCTATTGTCAAATAGTAATAATAATAATAATATGTCGTTCTTATATAGCGCTTAATAATAATAATAATAATAATAATAATAATAATAATAATAATATAATAATGATCATAGCGCCTTTTCCTCAGAGTTACAAAATGCTGGTATCATACAAATGAATCTTAAATCTGCTCAAAAATACTGGCCATTTAAAACTATTTTTATTTTGATTTAATAAATTATATAAATTAAAATGGTGACTTTTTAAAAATTCCCTTTAAATCAATCTCTTATTTCTTTAAGCGTCTTGAACGACCTATTAGGGCGCCGTTATACAGATACAATTACATTATATTTTCTATTTATTTTTAAAATATTATTTACTTTTTTATATATAATCTGTGGTCTGACGCTCTACAAATATCCTACCATTACTGTTACCATTCTATAATAATATCCTATATAATGCGTAATCTTCAGTAAATATTGGCAGGGAGACAATCCATATATCATATAGTACAATATGTAATAATACAGCTGTGCAAGATATAATGCATTAATATAAAACATACTCTGTATAATTAATAATTGAATAAAATTATAATTGTACAGTACTAGAGAAACATATGGTTAATACAGTATAGTAGAGTGTGTAGACCTGCTGTTAACACTTAAATATGCAGTTGTATTATTACAGTCATTGATTCAATTCATTTTCTAACAGATATACATCATCCTGTACACAAAGATGTCATTAGAAAACACTGTACATTCATAAATATTACTATATACAGTACTGTATCAGTACCTATCATAAATAATAATGTTTCTACAAACATAAAACTGTACTAGTCTATACATCTGTGTTTCACAAGCTTTTAGACGCACGACCCAGTTTGGAAATTCAGACAGGAATTGCTATTATCCAGACAAGCCTATTCAAAGAGCTACTGTACCACAGAACTACAGTTGTGCAACATTTTGGGACTGGTAATAAAAATCAGATTAAACTAAATGCATAAACAAAAGTAAATATTATGTATTACAATTAAAGTATAATGCCCCATTGTACTTTGTTGTATCATTCCAAACAGATACAGACAGATGGCTTCATTAATTTGATAAAATAACATGTTTCAAATTATCATAATGCTTACACAACTGTATATTAAAGAAGTTTACCAATTTTATACACTCATTTATACATAATACTGCATATAATTTTAAAAATTAAGAATCTTACACGCATTCGCTACATAGACGTTCTAAACTAAATCTGCCACACACCTGGCACATCATCTCAAATAAAGTTCAGAGCATACATAACAAACAAGCACAAGATGCATAATGCCAAAAATTTGATATTATAAAAAATCGGTAAACAGAATTGGGCAAACAGATTGTAGCGACTTCTGACGAGACTTTATGACCAGTGGCGGACCGTAGGGTAAATTGCAGGGTCCATAATTGATAAAATCATAATACGGGATTACTACATTCTTCTTAATCCACTCACAACAACAAACCCTATTTCATCTTCAGCAAAAGAGGGGAATACAATATTCCCTTTCTGAAAGCTGTAAACCCGGGCACTCGACGGTCATCAGTTGACGCGATTCTACGAAGAACATAATGCTACGACGCGGGTGTAATGGACCGTTTTTTACGACGATCCGTTCATGTCTGCATGATCTAATTCACGGGTGGGCAAAGTGCGGCTCGACAGTGAATTTTAATTTTTTTTTTTTTTGTAGTCTGCAAAAACAAATTATAAAAACCCTACAATACTGTATGTAGGAAACGCCTTGTTTTTACAGCCCGACACTGATCATCTGTAAAAGTATTAAAACTGAGAATAAATTGGTATAAAAGCAGTGTATGAAAGCTTTGGGAAGCAAACTGGAATCATCAAAATATGGGTGTAGCACTCAGTGTTGAAGCCCCATTCCCGGCAAAATTTCACTAAAAATGACTTTTTTTAGAAAATATGCATTTGCATTACTCCAATTATTATAAATCATGGAAAAATATTGGCATGAATTTTAGTTTTACGCAAAAGAATAAAAAAAATGAGAAATAAAGACTATTTCTCATAAAATATTACCATTTTCTCGACGAATTCATCGTTACTAGGCAAATTCAGAGGTTGTAGATCGCATCCACTGGAATACTCTCGCTTTTATGTATACTTTATACAGTCAATAAAGTGTGCCCTCTCTAATGAGATTACTTTTTGTACTTCGCATCTCGCTCAATGCGGTCGTTCGGTTAGGCTGAGATATGTTTGTTTAAGTGTCAAAATCTCAGTCAGAATCAGTTTTTTAACAAATTTGAAATAATTCATATGAAATATAATATTTCACAAGTGTCAATACTAGCAACGGAAAATATCATGTTGGCCGTTTTTATGTGTGATAACAGAACCTAAAATTGAGGTAAGGCTAGGCCTAGCCAGCAGCGTTGGATAGGCTAATGTTTTCGGCGCCTACAACATTTCTTCTCACGACCTATCGCAAAATCAACATGAAAAATTCATCCGCATTTATTTTTTGTGTGGAACACAAAAAATCAAATTTCAGTCTTATTTTACATTTTTTTCATTCTTAGGAATGTCTAAATTCAGTTAAACTAGCAATTCCGTAATATATTTATAAATCTTTATAACATTATACAAAAATTAGATTTTTCTTAAAAATTGAAATTTTGCCGGGAATGGGGCTTTAAATATAAAAAAATTCACTTTGGCCCTCTGACCGAATTTATGCCCACCCGTGGTCTAACGCATACAGGAAGTGGAGTTGGATTCATTGTATGATACGACTGTCGTATTGAGTACCCGCCTAAGGCCCATTCCTACTGACTGATATGAGAATAATAGGTGACACATACAATGTAGTACAAGGCCAGTAACATTACACAACACACAATTGTTTTATACAAATAGGATTGCATAAATTTGTCTTTGTCTATTACTGTACAATCTCTGGTGTGCCTACTGTGTCAATGTCTGTGTAGTCCAATTAATTTGGTTATATCCAAGTCATAATGGTTGTAACGGTTACAACCATTTAATTACCTGTGAAAAGGAGGATGAGATAAAGACATATATATCTGAAATAGATGTTTCTGTATTGTCATTTTGCACTCAATGGAATTAACTGGCATGGCACCAGGCCAAATAAAGCCCCCACAATTGCCGGGCAGAAAAAAAAGTCTTTCCTCTGTTACGATGTGCAATCAATGACATTGCATAGCATGGCGCAATGCCAACTAAAAACCCCATGATTGTCAGCCGGAAAAGAAGATTCTCTCAAGATGTGCTGGTTGAAAAAAACAAACATGTTTTGAAACCACAATCATCAACATACAGTACGTCAATGTCATACCCACTTCAAATTGCAAAAATGTCATTTATTTGGCTATAAAACAAAAGTAAACTGTAATTATAAGACAGGGAGAAGAGAGTAGACTTTAACAAAAAAATGCTGGTTGATGGAATAAGTATATTTAGAAGCCTTAACCTTAACATACAGTACCAACCATGGATTCTAAATACCCTCTCAATATTCATACATCATAAAGTTGTTTTGCAAAGGAAATCTTTGGATAAACCACAATGAAACATCAATATTTTGTTATTACAGTATGTGGAAGGTCGACAAGATTTTCTATAGAAGTGCTGGTAGGAATATAGTTTGGAGATACTGCAGCAACCACAACAGTATCAGTATCAGAGGTGTAACGCCATGTGCTCTTGTGCAGCTGTCCACAGGGCTCCTGGGCATTAGGAGCCCTGAAGTTTTCCCTAGCCACATGGTGATCAATTTTTGTTGATACATAACAGCATAATGTGTCTCTGACATCGACTGTATATCATATTATATCCAGTGGCGAATTAAAGAGGGCACCTATATAAGTCTGTGAGTGCCATTTCTGGCCATTTAGAGGTGCCGTAATCATAAATTTTTTTGCCTCAGCCCCAAACATGGTGGGGTTGAGGTGGTATTGACACTTTATTAATGAAAGTTTTGCCACTCATTTATTTTGTCAATGCAATAACAAACATTAAAAAACGAGCACATATAAAATCCCACAATGGAATTGGCAACCGGGACACAAAACGCCCCTTCCCCCACTCTCGGAAAGCTACAACATTCTCACTATGAACTATGCTTATTTTAAAAGGAACTGAATCAATTATTTTGGAAGCTTGAATACAAATTGGTTTCTATAAATATTTTAGTCATCATACCATATTCAAATTAAGTTCCGTTATTGATACAAAAATTTAATAGTTGGCTAGCTTATAGTGCAGGATAGAACAACCTTCGTACAATGAACCTAATTATTATTAAGAATAATTGAATTTTTTTTTTTTTTTTTTTTTTGAAAAATTTCAATAGTTGGTTTACCGCACATTGCAAATCCACTGTGTGTAGTTTTCAGGCAGATAACTGCAGGATGGTTAGTACAGTATTTTTCGTTTAGATTTTTTCCCTTATATTATTTTATATTAATTACAAAATTATACTTTTACAAACTATTTACCTTTTTGTATTTGATCATAGGCTGGCGGTGCCGTCTGTTCTGTTCCATAGCTTGGTGCTGGATTTTCTGGATCCTGTTAAACATCAAAAGAAAGATTAATTTGGTTTTACCGAACCAAGTTTAACAGGTAAACCGTTAACCGGGTTAAATAAGGTCATGATGTCATCACATCACAACAAATATACAGTAGGTACATCATGACTATATGGGCACATCTTGAATATTGGCACATCATGACTATCTGTATGGGCACATTATGACTCTGTATGGGCACATCATGACTATATGGGCACATCATGACTATATATGGGCACATCATGACTATATATGGGTACATCATGACTATATATGGGCACATCATGACTATATATGGGTACATCATGACTATATATGGGCACATCATGACCATATATGGGCACATCATGGCCATATATGGGCACATCATGGCTATATATGGGCACATCATGGCTATATATGGGCACATCATGGCTATATATGGGCACATCATGACTATATATGGACACATGACTATACATGCGCATACCATGGCTATACATGGACACATCATGACTATATATGGGCACATCATGGCTATCACATCATGGCTATATATAGTTACATCATGGCTATGGGCATAAAACAGTATTTGATAGTGTGGATGGAGTTTTACATTTAACATGATTCTTGTGTAACATTTTGCCTTGTGTGAAACCAGGTTTCAGACTTACCCCGGTATTCTTAAAACCAACTTTAGTCATCGTTCGAGCAAAAACTTACATCACATTGAATACTTAAAACGAACTTCAAACTAGCACTATGACTAAATGACGTGAACGTCAACTAAAATGATACCTCGGCAGGCTGATTTTTTCAGTCAGCCTAGGGTCAGGCTAAATCGCTGACGTGAAACATTTACCCCAATAAAAATGTTATTTTTGTAACTCACGATAGAGTGAATAGAATAAAAACGATTGTACAAGTATGTCTGATGTATCATCGGTATGTTCATCTACTATTAAAATTAGCCCTATTCATTGGTAGTTTGATAGTCGTTGCTTGCCAGCCATTTTCAGCTGAACTAAAACTAGGACTTCATTTAGCTGATAGTTAAAACTTGGACTACGTTGTTTATGAAAACAAATCAAAGTTGAAGTTGCAGCTAGGTTCGACTGAAGTTCGTTTTAAAAATACGGGCGCTAGTAAAAGAAACACCAGTTTGATTTAGCATTAACATGAACGTATAATACAGTAATATTCAAATACAGGAAATTCCTCCATAGTATATTAAGAAGAGAAGAGGAAAAACACTCAAAGTAAGATCTAAAACACAAACCACATAATGAACAACAAAGGAAATAAATTATTTTACCCCGATGGTGAGCAAAAAATGTTGCAAAATACATACACATGTGACATAAATATTGGTGGTTAACACCACCAATACACATTACACATTATGACAATGATATCATTGAAGATTAGCAAACATGGGTAGAATATTACAGTATTTCTGAATAGTAACAATTTTGTCTGCACTAATAATAAAATTCACTATATTAGTACATATTTCTTAAGCTTGCAATGATTTTAACCACCTTATGATACAGCACTTTAATTAACTTATAATGAATATTCATGTTATTTTTCATTTTCACTACAGGATTTTGTTTGTATAATTTACTATATTGAAAATTAGACTAATAAATTATTTTCTTTGCCAAATAAAAGATGCATACTTAATTTCCTAACATTTAATTTACTTAAACCAATTACAAAAAAAAAGTCCCTACATAGACTACATTTAAGATAGCTCACAAACAGACATCAAATAATGAAAAACAGTTCAACTTTTGCAATATAATTATGAAAAATATTTTACACTTAATCAATGGACAGAAAACCAAGAAAATATGGTAATTGAGAAGTGAGCTTCATGGCATTTATTATCCAATACATATAGATCAGTGAGTACATTTTAATAATAGAATGCAGAATTTGCATAACTGTAGGCTAAGCGTACTTTTATTGGTATGTTATAATAACTCCTTCCTTGTTCAACCCTTTAAATTTACATTCAAATGAATGCCAAGTAGTCCCAATCACCCAGTCTTGCTATGGCCCAGACAATTCAATAATACAAGTTGAATCACCAAAATGTCTGGAATAACAAGTCTAGGACTTTTTGTAATAAAAAATTCTGAAGATAATTGGTAATTTTGAGCTCCATATGGCATTTATCATCCAATACATATTGCCCAGTATGTATGTTGTAGTATACATTTTATTAAGTACAATACAGTAGGTCTACTGCTGTGATAAACTTATTACATAGCTACTTTTATTTGGTCTGTTTATTTTAGTTACTCCCACTTTAGAATTGTCAAACCTCTGTAAATTTACATAGTCAAAAGAATGTAAAGTATACCTCAATCACCCAGCCTCACTATGGCCCGCAGGTAATTCAATAATACAAGTTGAATCATCAAAATGTCTGGAATAAACTAAGCCTAGCACTTTTTGAATTATTACAGTACATTGGTACACTGGTTGATTTGGGTCTCTTTGCATAAATAATGGTTACGGTTCAAAAATAATACCCCTTTCTTTAATGTACAAACAAAAGCAATATCTCAAAATTGTTTGTGTGCTGGAAGACGTTTGGTGAGGCGAACGAAAAAATACAAGAAACAGTGTTCATTAACTGTTCATTCATAAGTAGGCCTACAGAATATACACAAAAATAAATGAATGATAAAATTAAGGAATGGTGTGGTTCAAGTAATATGAGCCTATGGTGTCCTCTTGGCAACCCTCTGGACACTCCATGATTTGTGATATTTCTATGCCGAATATAAAATGAATAAATAAACAAACAAAAAAACAATAAATAAATAAATATAGACATTGCATAATTTATGCAATGAACAATATAAACTATAACTTTAAAAACATTCACATAGACATACCATAGAGGAAAACCCAGACAAGCAGGATTATGCAATGATAAATATTTATGAAACATTTATTCGAACTAATGATAAAAACAGTATTTAGCTTCCTTGGGAAAAAGATAAGTAGCTTTTCATTCAATGTTCACAATTTAAAAATTAGATAACCATAACCATTCAGCTATTGTACCGATAGAGAATATATGCATACCAGTAGTTCAGTGGTGTATCTAGGATTACTAACTTTTGGGGATTGTTCAAAGGGTAGGTACTATAGGATGTGCAAAGGGTAGGTACTGTAGAACAATGATGATTAAATGAGGGGGGTTTTAATTGTCAAAAAAATTGTTGAATATGATACCTTTAGCATAATTTTTCTAGTTTGGGGGTGATAGAATGGAAGGGGCATGGTTTGAGAGTGCCAAAGGCAGCACAAGCTTTTTTTTGGGGGGGGGGGGGAAATACGTTCCCCACATGCCAGATATACAGCACTGGTGAACAAGTGATATGCACTTCTTCATCTCTACAGTAGTACTTCATGCATCAAGTAAGCTTACTCAAAATTTACTGCATGCTTCACAATTGAGAAAAAAGATGATGACTGCATTTCAAACATGATTTCATTCCTTTCCATGTATTTTAAGTTGAATCATTTAACTTTCCCTAGGCCTGTTTAGGGTGGCAGATATTTTGTAACCTTTGACTTTCAAATCTTGCTACCAACATTCCATAACCATGCAAAAATCACCTATAATTTACAATTATTATAATTATTACAGTGGTTCCTCATGGTAAGCCCTTCAACACAAAATTGGGTCACTTTTTTTTAGGGGTGGGGGAGGGGGAAGATTGGACTTAGTAACAAAATTGGGCTACTGTAAAGAGTAGGGGATGGGCTTATACCTGAGATGGGCTTACAGATAGTACATGAGGAACTACTGTATAGCATATATATCAATATATTAAATAATTATTATTGATTGACTAACTGTTAACTGATTGATTTGGAATTCCAGGTCGTGGTTACAAAATGTCAAACACCCTGACTGTACAATACTTTAGTACATGCAGTAGTTGGCTATAGGGATGTCCACACCAGACCACTGTCTTTGTACAATCAATGTACTAGTTTCATACCAGAATTGTAGTTATAGCATCAGAAATAATAAATTTTCACCATGGTTTTGTTTTTATCCAAAGAAATTTTAATTGCCGGAGTCTTGCCCAAGCATGCAGACAAGTGGCGGATCCAGGAATTTGAAATGGAGGGGGGGGGGATTTTTAGAGATAGAGGGTCCACACACCTCAGCCCCACCATGGTTGGGGCTGAGGCAAGAACATTTATGATTTATGGCACTTCTGGATTGCTGAAAATGGCACATAAATTTGATTATAAATATATTTCCAGGGCTTAAACTTGGTAAGATGAGGTGGTACAGTAGTTAAAATGATAAGGAGAGTTTACTGTATAATATGATGAATATAAATGAAAATATGTAGGGATTTAATACTGCAATATTGAAGTATGCTTGAGGACACGAACTCACCGTCTGTTGTTCTGTTTGGCCATCGGATTCTAGAATGGATTTCTAAATTTGGAAAAACAAATCACAGTATGTAAACCTAGTCAATTAGTCTGCTAAGCCAGGCTCGCACGAGAGCTGTCGTGGCGTATCTAGGTGTGTGGGGGAAGGCGCTCATCCCTCCGCTTCATCTTTGCGCCCCGCCATCAGCACCAAATTTCAAGACTTCTAGATACGCCACTACAGTCACCAAATGACGCCGTGTTATCAGGCGGTCTTAGCAGAGATGACAACATTGGCTACTTTAAACCATGGAGGTATTATTGAGAAGGAGATCACTCGAAAAAGCTACGCGCACACAGCGCTATGCAAATGAACCAAGATCAAAGCTGCCGCAGCGCATGAAGAACGTTTACGCGATACCTTTGACATCCCATGTGTTCCCCGCCATCAAATTTTCAGCAGGCATAGTTTACCAAAAAATTGAACATGGCGAAATGGAGAGCACCTTCTTTTTTCGATGCGCACTACATACAGTCAATCACTATCTCTCATAAAATATCAAACATATTAATATTTTCCACCAAAAAAAGTTTCAAATTTAATGGAACATTTACATAACCTTAAAAAGTATAGTATTACCATAAATTGGCCAAAATTCGTTAATTCTAATTTTAACAGATATTAATTAATAAATGATTGAGGATTATAATAAACTAAGTCATTTTAGGGTTAACGAGGGTTAACTATTCGAAAAATCAATCCAAAATCTGAGTATTTTTCAGTTTTACGCTGACTTAGCTTTATAGTCTAACTAATCAATCTTTAGACAAAATTATAATGAACACAGAAGTAATTTTAACATAAATATTTTACGGAATCCGTTCCTGAAATATACAAATAATAACATACCAAAAGTCCAAAAAAATCTAATCAGGGGAACATTGTTCATTACAAAGATATTTAATGGGTTAAAATCAAACGCTTTATTGCACAACTGCTCTGCTGGAAGCGTATAAATGCATGTCGTTGCCAAGTTGTTGCTAACGAAAAAATGTGAATTATAGGGTAATACGCCCACACGCGATGCAAAAGCGGGGAACACATGGGTTTGTCGCGTCAAAGGGAACTGTTGCCGAGTGATCTCCTTCTCAATAATACCTCCATGTTTAAACATAGTACGTGTTGGGCTTTCCATACTGTAAGCTTACACTGTCGGCCAAATACCAGGGAAAGACTTTTAATGTTAAATTATGAACCTTGACTTCTGATGATTAGGCCTAAAAAAATGTTATGTTGGCGTAACCCGACCAACCTTAAACAAAATCAGCCAACCCTAGACATTTTTGTAAATTTCATGATACAAGTTTAAGTGAGCAAATTTGGCGTGGGCGGGCATCACTCAAAATGATTCAAAAGTGGTCCAGGGGAAAAAAAAAAAGGCAATTATGATAAAAATCCCATAAATCGTATACAATGGAGGTGCTTCACTTTCGATAGATCAAAAAAGAATGAGGAAGTTGCATGGTTGCTGGGCCGCTTGTGCTTGGTACCAAGAGTCGACTGTTCTATTATTTTTCGAGGGGTGTTTCTCTTGTGAGAAAGAATAGGCAATTAGTTGGTTTATCCAGGTAAGTATTCATGAAGTAGACTATGACAATTTAGGGCTTTATAAAGGCTTATTTAATTGATTTTATAGTCTACTAACATAGAAAATACATAATTTTTATCTCCCTGACAAATTAAGGTTTTTCTTCCTGACACCAGGGGTCAGATCTTACCGACGGGGGGCCTTCCCCACCCCGGCTTTCCCCCTGACGCCACCCCTAAGTTCATGGACTTTGCTGAATATTGGCATTAAAACAATACAAAAAATATCCTTACCTACCTACCCTGTCTTTTGGGGCTGTTATGAAAAACATTTTTTTTTCTTTTTAGGCCAGTGCCTTATATTTTACAAAAAGTTTGGTTCAGGATTTATTATACCTTATTATTATACTTTATATTACTTTATTTATATACTTTATATCATTCCTTTAAATAAAATAACGCACATCTTTGCTCGCAAACAAACTATAGTTCATGCGTAGTGTCCTTTGTTGAATTGCCTTGTTTAAATACACCTTCAAAATGTAATGTATATAAGCTGCTATTTAAAATGTCTTTCCAATTCTTCCTCCCTTTAATATCTATTTTTATAATCTATAAAGTTTGTTGGAATAAATTTTTTCAATAGAATTCACAGCAACAACAGACCAGTTGCTCAGAATCCCTAGTAAAATTTTACTACACCTCTTGAACAAAAGGCCTTCCTATTGGACATACTTGGAATGTTTTCTTTGCACTTTCTGTAGTGCTACTATTTGGACTGATGTTTAAACACCAGAATGTTACAATTAGAGCTGTAGTCTCACCAAATACGACAATGACTTCATCACTGAATACAATAAAATACTTGCTATCAAAATAACAATATTTTGGTTGCAATCCCAATGCATTCGTGGTCTAAAATTAGAGTTTGGGCCATCCTTGGCCATAACCTGCGGGCATGTGTGTGTCTACTGTTTAACATATTTTTTTTGGCTACCCCTGGGGCAGCAGACACAAAAATTATCTTTGTGAATCCTACCAGTGGTTTTTATTCCGCTTCTGCCCCCCCCCCCCAACAGACTCTCTAGTCGGTCCCTTTGTTTTGACCCCGCTGTTGGACTCATCAGCAAATTTCTGGAGCCACCCCTGCATCTGGCATGTCAGTGAATAATGTAAAGAGTACAAACAAAAGGTGTAGGCCTACCTGTGCTTTACATTTTACATTTTTTTTTTTTTTTTAATGTACCGTTATTTATTGCCTAACGACGGAGGTACTTATACCTCCTTGGTCTAACGTGTGCCACTGTGCTATAAAAGTGTTTCCAATATATATTGTACAGTATTTTATTGTATCTAAAAAACTTTTGTTAATCAGGAAGGTACGTAATGCCATTTACCGTACCTTTAGCAAAACGAAGTAGAAATACGGTACCGTATCTCTAGCCACGGCATTAATGAAATATTACAGAAAATGTATGTTCTGATTGCACATGTCGCCATGGCAATGTTAAGTATGAATAATGATGAAATTTGGCACATTTTATCTTTTGGAATTGTCACTACAGACAAAGGTGAATTTAGTTTGCAAAGAAAGAATGTCTGGCCTAGGCCCCTACAGCAGAAAGCAAGAAGAGATGCAACTTAATTGAAGATGACCTAATTGATCTTGTTGTGCTTTACAATCACAACCCACAGAATTCGCATTATGATTTAAGAGGCCTGGCCTAGGCCTCTACTACTAGTAGAGATATTATAATGCCTAGACTTCTCCACTTGGTCATCCACACAACGTTTACAGACAGCCTCACCAACCCAGAGAGCATTAACAATGCACAGTCAGTGACAATTTTTAAGAGACAACTGAACTGAAAACCTGTTTATGTTCTGTAAAGCATTCCGAGACCATTTTTCTATTTTGACCTGGCCCCTGGTTGGAATTTTGTTTTCTTTTCGATTTCATTCGATGTACAGCGCTTAGAGGTTTCCTGACATTAGGTGCTTTATAAATCCAGGATATTATTATAATTATGATCAATTTGACATAATATAATATAATAAGCCTTAAGTTATCTTTTAAATAAACTCTCGGCGTCCAATCGGCTAAAGGGGTCCGGGTAACAGGCCAAGATTAAGCGTTTAGTACAAGTACAAACGAAGGTACGGTACATGATTAGAATCAAATATAGAATTTAAGCTAACAAAAACAACATATCCAAAACAAGTCTACGTTATATTAGGCCTATATTGAAAAAAAAAATGTAAACTTTTTAAAAATTCGGCCAAATATATTTTGGCCGTGACTTTTCAAACGTTACGGCCAGGCAAATTTTTATACGGCCAAATTTTAAGAATCTGGCCGTCAAAAAGGCCAAATGGCAACCCTGATTAAGTCCCTGGATGCAAAAAAAACCAACAAAAAACAGTATAATACGCCCTCTACAGCTTAAACATTGGGCACATTCGACTCTGATATCGATTCATTTCGTTGAGTACAGTATTTTTTCGACTGGTTCGTATTAATAGCCTTCGTTGACAACGTAAATTAACGTATTATCAGAGTGCGTTAATCAGCGTAAAGTTATCCACGTGACCAAATCAAACACGGCCGATTGGTCAGTATAAAAACAACATTGCATTAATATAATTTAGATTAAATTTCAGAAAATGAAATGTATATGTTTACCAACATGAAGGTCAAAAAATAATTGGAGGTTAATAGAATTCAAAAACTGGACGAAACATTATTTTACGAAAAAAACCCATATATTGCCACGAGCCGAAGCAATCTTGATTACGCAGCGCAGTGGCGGATCTATGATTTAGCAATGGGAGGAGGGGGAGGGATGATGCAATTTGCGAAGCACCAGCACGGGTGGTGGGGTTTTTGGAAAGAGCACAGATTTGTTTCAAAAGGTGAGGGGGAACATTTCGTGAGTCCACACCCACCATGTATAACACCCTTTCGCTAAAACCTGGGTCATTTATGCAGTTCATTTCAACAATTTTCAGACATCTTCTTGACTTACGAAATTATTACATTTCGGACGAAAAGTGAGGAGACCACCAACCCCACCTCCTTAAAATATTTAGGGACGTGTTCCACTCTCCCCCATTGAGCATGGGTTTTGGGAGGGCAGTCCTTTCCAACTGATTGTTGGGAATTAGTAGACGGCTAGACGCTTTTGGATATCTGAAAAGAAGTTAAGCTTAAAATAGAAGGTGTATGCTAATATCTCTATGGTTTTACGAGAGTAAGCCTAGCCTACTACAGTAACATGTACGGTATACATGGGAAGCACACACACAAAACGAGTGACCATTTTTTTTTCACGGTCACCGAAAAAGGGTGGCTAGCCACAATTCTCCCCCTCCCTCAGTGGCGTAACAGGCGGGGGGACCCCGCAAGTGGCAGACTGCCCCCTCTAACGGTTTTTGCCGGGCTGATCAAGCAGTCGTACCGGGCTGGGTAATAAGAGAAAAGAAAGACGGGAGAGGGAGGGAAAGATAAAGAAGGAGAAAAGGAAAGGAAAGGAAAAAGGAAAAGAGAATGAGAAAAATAAAGACAAGAACAAAAAGGAAGATACCATAATGACCAGACTCACAACACCCTGCAACCAACCACTTCTCCACATCAAAAAGTGTCCATATTTTCCGCAGTGGCGTAACCACCCCTTGAAGATGCCCTTTTAACCCCCTGAAAGTGCCTAAAAATCTAAAAATTTCCCACGCTTCGCGGGCATTTCTTGTTACAGTAGGTCAATTTCCTCTAAAAATTTCACATTTTCGGAAGTTTTTATCAATTCCGACGACATTAGAATTAAAAATACAAAAAAATTTCGCACGCTTCGCGCGAATTTTTTACGGTTTGATTTCTAAGTTATTTAAACACAAAATAGTCCCAAACTCAAGAAAGAAAATTTAAGATAGATCGTTTTACCTAAAAGAAGGGCCTCAATGTGTAATGATGGTGAAGAAATGTGTTTCTAATAAATAAAGCCATAATGAAAAAGCTTATATTCAGTTTAAAAAAAAACATTTTTGAGGGCGAGAATTTGTGCTTGTCCTCCCTTTTTCCTTCTAAGTAAATTGAACATAATAGTCCCAACTGAAATAGAAAGAACATTTAAGATAGATCGTTTTACCTAAAAGAAGGGCCTCAATATGTATTGATGGTGAAAGAATGAAAGAATATGTTTGTAATAAAAACCGTGATGAAAAAATGCTTATATATATTTTTAAACACACGTGCGTGGCCTATAATATAGATAAGATAAGCCCTATGTCGTATGGTTTTCTATATGGAAGGGAGGTAGTGGGGTGGGTATCAAAATTATTACCTTTGCCCCCCTCCCCCGACCCAAGACCTCTGTTATGCGCCTGCCCTCCAAAGATCCACTGCAGCACCGTGCATCGCGGTAACTAGGGCGTGGTTTAACGAAGAATGACCAGTCGAATACGGCCTTTCTGTTAAAAAAATAGTCACCTAACCTGTATTATGTAGCGGTGCCGATCTAAGGATTAATATATAAAATATAACAGCACCTGGAGTAGCGGTACCCATAATGCAGTGGCGGTGCCCATCTAAGGATTAATGTACAAAATATAACAACACCTGAAGTAGCGGTGCCCATAATGCAGTAGCGGTGCCCATCTAAGGATTAATATATAAAATATAACAACACCTGCAGTAGCGGTGCCCATCTAAGGATTAATATAGGCCATTGTTTATTAGGCCTACTGCCGCTGGTGGTAGCTCCTATTTACTGTATATTCTTTTGTACCACTTAAAAATAGAAGGTACAGTACATACAAAGAATACTAGGACTATATATTTTCACTTTGTTATTTTACACAAGCAGATTAAAAAAGTTTGTTTCTAGGCTAGGACGGCAAAAGTGTGTGTTTACTAGACCTTGTCGACAACAACATACAGATACAACGCTAGGTTAAATGAATATTCAATTTATATTGCTACTTAATTATTCATGAACCTGCAGTATTGTCGCCCATATAAAGCTTACCAAAAAAAAAAAATGGGACTTGTGGCAAGTCTATTAGACATGTTAATGTAAATTACAGACAAGGAACTATTTTATTTCCTTTGTTTTTCATTGGTTTATTGCAGTACAAAATACACAGAACACAGGAATATGGCATGGATAAAATTGTAGTCTATAAGTCAACCTTAACTTATGGGAAAGAAAAATAGGAAACTGTAGAACTATCACACCACCACTACCAGTACATATAAGGGAAGATAATGGTTACAGTAATTATTTTATAGTTTTAGCTCTGCTATGAGCAATCTAGGACCATGCTAATTACCTATGATGTATTATATTAGACACGGTTGGCAGGGTGGCACCAGGATTTGCTCACAGGGGGAGGGGGATGAGGCTGAGGTCCCCGACAAAAAAAATTGGGCATGGTCGGGCGTTGTTCAAAATCTCTCGCAGGTGTTTCAGGGTGCAAAACCCCCGAAAAACATGACAATTTATGGGTTTCAAATGCTTTATTTAATCAGTTTTGGGGTCTAATAATATGTAAAATATACATATACCTTTTTATCTCCCCAACCTAACGGTTGGCAAGACATATTACTTACAATGATGTCATACCGTTGAAGGTTACAGTGATGTACTCGGCATCACAGGCCTAACACTCAAAATGTTGCCACCTAGATTGAACAACAGCACAAAATTTAAAGCAAAATTCGGTTTCAGTACCAGATATCTAAAAATAGGCTCCTGAGCATTGGTATACTGTAAAAACTACGTCAAAATAGGCTCCTGAGCATTGGTATACTGTAAAAACTACGTCAAAATAGGCTCCTGAGCATTGGTATACTGTAAAAACTACGTCAAAATTACTCTTATTTGACAGGGTGATATGAGCCATTGCTCATCTGTCAACACACTGTACTTGGCATGCCTGTCAAATAAAATGAACTGAAATAAACCCACATTCCATTTAACACAAAAATTTCACTACCACAGCATAGAGAATATTTCTATGTGGGCAAGGGCAGTACACTCAGTAAGCGATCAGATCGCCAGCGTCTATATTGTAAAAAAAAATCTAAGATTTATTTAAAATATTCTAGAATCAAATTTATATTTTTATCGTTGAAGTACTAGTTGGCTCAATTCCAATAATTCATGTATTATATAGCATCCTGGTACCATGCTTAACATTCACGTTAACGAACAATTACTAACATAGTTAACAATCGTTAAAATTTGCCAACACGGGTAACTCCCAACATTTTACTATGCTGGACAAAATTGATAAAACAGGTTAACTAAGACTAACCAACATTTGTTAACATGGTTAAAATTTATGGTTAAGAAGGTACACATAATTAACTTATAAATCTGATGTTAGCAATAATAGAATAAAAATTGGTATTAGAATGATGTTATTTCCATTACGTTTTGTTCACATTCCTTTGGTTATGGGGAAGGGGAATTTATTCATCCCAAAGGGCGTTAATTTTGATCTACAAAGATCCTAAAGATGAAATTTCTTAAATTTTAAGTCAGTAAAAAATAGGGGATCTATTAAATTGAAAGCAGCATACGACAAATGCGATACATTCTTTTGATTGGCCTACATTCATCATTTCATACTTAGTGAAAATGTAAACATCCTCAACTCTCGAGTTCTGTGTGATTGGCACCTTGCACTGTTTCACACGCCAATCAGAGGATTCACAATTAAGGATATTTACATTCCCAGCAAGCATGGAAGAATTAATGTAGGCCAATCAAATGGCAATACCACAATGTCATCTCTTGCTGTTGTTAACTAGTGTAAACATCCTCAACTCTGAATCCTGTGATTCGCTGTGAAGCAGCATGTGACACTATGCACCCATTGACTGTTACAATCAACTGAGTCTGTGACTATGTTGTAACACTGAGGGAATGTAAATATATAAAAATCAAGTCTTTTTTTTTTATCACCTCTTGTGCGGTACAGTAGATGAGACTACCTTGCTACGTACAGCTTTCATTTCAGTTTGTTTTTTCTTGTGTGTTGAAATTACCGCGGATTTTAACCTCGCTTTACCAGCAACTACTTTCTTCCTAAGTTCCTCCATTTCTTCAATTTTCCTTTTTTCATTTCGATCTTCCATGTTTTTTAACAATTTTTTCTTTAACTTGGACTCTCTTCGTCTCAGTTCTCTGGCTTTTCGTTCCTCCTGTTTCTTTTTCTTCCGTTCCTCTTCTTGTTTCTTTTTCCTTTCTTTTTCAATCTGCTTTATTCGCTCACTCTGAATCTCGGCAACTTTCCTTTGAACTTCCTCTTGTTGTCTAACTTTCTAGATAAGTAAAATAAAAGTGTGCACAATTGATCAAGAAGGAAATTCCACTGCATCAAAATTTTATTGTATTCAAGATAAGCATCACTTTTGAAATTTAAATTTTTTTTTGTGACTGTGTTCACCCCTCAGTGGCGTATCAAGGAGTCTTGAAATGGGGAGTGGGGGGGGGGGGGGGGAGAGGACAAAAGGGATGTGGGGGACTCGATGATTAAGTAAGGGGATATTAGCTCACAAAATAGGTGATATGAGAGGATTTCTAACTACTTTAGCTAATTTGTTTTTGCTTCAAACATTTTCAATAAAGGAAGACTTGGGGAGGGGGAGAAACATTTTTTATGAGGGGTATTCCCTTCCTCGCACCTCTAGATACACCACTGGGCATCTGTTAGAGGTAAAGTAAATTCCCACAGCCAAAATTTATTTATTCAATGTATAATAAAAAACACCAAAATAGGCAGCCCATACTGTAGGCTGAAATCGTTGGTTTAAAATATAAAAATACAGGCAGAATATTACTCATACGGTTCCAAACAATACAAAAATAATATAAATCTTATTCACAATCCAATTACTCAATAAATTAATTTATAATATAAATACGGTTATAAATACATAATCATCAAAATTTATAAAATTTAAGTAGAAGCTGCCAATGCTGACGTAGCGTACGATAAGACCTTTCAAACAAAAGTTATGGCTGGAAGCATCAACACGACAACAGCTATAGCCAGCACATCAACAACAATAACTAACTACTAAATCCTTTCCGAGCCACTAGGGCTCAAAGGGCTGGAGCTCATCCCCAGTTTCTGTAGTGTAAAGCAGATGAGAGTTTTACTCCCCCTGAACGGGACACAGGACACTAGTCCGTCGCAGGTTAGTCCCCAGCAGTTTGCTGGTACCCATTGATACAGCTGGGTGGACTGAAGCAGTGTAGCTAAAGTGCCTTGCCCAGGGACACAAGCAAATCTGCACAGCGGAGACTTGAAACCCCAACCTTATGATTGAAAGCTCAAACCTCAACCGCTGCGCCAAACTGCCGCTACCACAATAAAAAATAAAGATAAAAGCTGCCCTCATTTTTTAAATAGGTAGTGTGAAAATGATTAATCTAGCAATTACAATACAGTACCTTTAATCTGTTAAATAACTCTGTCAACAAACGAATTGATTGTAACTGTCGCTGAGCTAACAGCAACTTCCTTTCCTCCATCGCAATTTTTCGCTGCAACTCAAATTCTGCTTGGATTCGTTTCCTTTCTTCTCTCCTGACTCTTCTTCTTTCTTCACGTTTCTCTTGTCTACTCATTCGTCTCATTGTCTTCTCTATTTTCCTGCGCTGTTTTTCTCGTTCTACTTCCTCTTTTTTCCTTCTATATATTATAGTGACAGAAATAATTTCAATGGATTTCATTCAATACAATGTAGATAAGTAGCACAAACAGCAACTCTATATCTCTCACTAGATTGAACTCAAAAGTCAAAAGTCAAATGTCAAAGTAGTATCCTACAATAGATATGGATTGAGAATGTCTAACATGAAAGTAGGATGGATTCACCAACGCGTGACTGTCATTGTGTGCATTTTACATTCTACAGTACTTCAAATCAATTTTGATTTTTTTTTTACAATGTGTACACGAATATGTCACAAACGGAGAGACTGATGTTCCGGCCTGAACATATATTTGGCTTACAACCACTCCAGATTTCAGAAGAGAATGTAATGCGAAACGTTCAGACATGCAGAGTTAAATTAAAATGGCGTCATTATGTTCTACGTCATCCGTAATATAACACACTATCCTTTCTTATTTTCTTGACAATGAATCTCAGAAGCCAAACTGGCTTGGATATTTTTTCATTAGTTTTTTTTTAAATGTCTAAAAGTGAGTGGTTTTCATTTTAAATAATCATTGAATCTACACTGAGACAACTGTATTTGTGTTGTTCCTTGCAGTTACAAAGCACTGTTTGTCACTCTCCACAATAAGTCAGAAAATCCCCCGAGCAAAGCTTGCTCAAACCAAACCCAAACAAAATGTGCTTAAGTAAACTTAAATGATGCAATGAAGAAGAAACTCCAAGTAAAAGGGTTGGATAGTTAAATAAAACAAACAAAAACAATAAAAAAAATAACTACATAAATTTGTTTTTAGATGAGACTTAAACTGTCTTACTGTAGACAAGACCTGAGAAAATAAGGCAAAAAATTCCAAAGTTTGGAAGCAATTCGGCCATCCCGAAACAAAATAACGTAACTGACATTATTGTCGATTTTGAGATAATATCATTTTGGAGTATATTAAACACATCTGAATTACCTGTGAAAATTTCAGGTCCCAACAATGAGTCGTTTCAGAGGTAACACCACCTATCTTTAAGCACAAAACTTAAAATCCAGTGATTTTCCATGGTAAAACAACGTAACTACAAGATTACGGGGCAAAACAACGTATCTACAATGAAGATATATTGTTTTGCCTCGGAATGGTATTCAAAAATTATTTTGAGCTGATGGAGTTTGGCAAGGCGAAATCAACTGGTTATTGTGTTTTTATATCAACACTCTTAACAGCGACATATGAACAATTTAGATAATACATATGATTGCCCCAACCCTGATAAATTCCAAAAATATGTCACACATTGCATGTTTCCAAGGCAAAACAGAGTATATGTGAATATCGCTAATAACTTTGCTAAACTAACGGTTGTAATTAAAACTTTACATATAATCACAATATTTATAGGTATAAAATCCTGCAAAAATTTTAAAAGGGTACGACAATTTATTACCAAGTTGCAAACATGCAAACTTCAACTCTATTTTTCTCCAAAAGTGAAAATTTCAAGTTATATTGTTTTGCCACGGAAAGGCCGAATTGAAGGAAAGGAATTGTCACCTAAAGTATATTTTTATGAGAAACCAGCCTCACAAATTGGATGGTATTGGAAAATCTTGTTAAACGATTTCAGTTCAACACCATTTAAAAAAAAAATAAATGAAATTATATTAGAGTATGGATGGATTTATGTAGTGAAAACACCAAAGATACCGACAAAAATCTGAAGAAAACTTATTTATCCAGTGTTGTCCTCTTTTTGGCACATAGGACAAACTGTTTAAATGTCTCATCGGAAGACGGTGCGCTATCGTAACTTGCATTTCAGCCCTCCAGCTAAAATACAAGGAGAGTAGAGATGGGAATTGAACCGGGGACGAAGAGATCTCCACAGTTCAGCGCACACACAGTGGCTACCTCCAGTTTAGCAGACTGAGCTAAGCTGCTCTCAAATACTGTACCTTTCATCTTCTAATCTGTGTTCCTCTGCTTCTCTCTCTCTTTTCTTTAGTTCCTCTCTTTCTTTTTCAAGCTGTATAAGTCTTTCCCTCTCTTTGATTCTTCTTCTGATAGCTTTGGCACTCATGTGTTTTGTTTTATCAAAGTCCACCTAGTCATAATGATAGCACAAACAAACCAAATATCAATCAAATAATATTAATATATCATTAATAATGAAATCAAAAATCAATAAATTTCCTTTTTAAATCAAAATTAGCAATTCAATGCATTTTATTAGTTTAACATTTTATATTTTGATATTTTAAAGTTAAATTTTAATTGATGATTTTTTTGTTTCTGAGTGCAATGTATTGTACAGAACATTAATTTATTTCTTTTTAAATTTTCGTTCCCTGGTTTTAAATACAACTCGTTGTTCTTGCATTTTTTTGTATTTTAACTTACTATTTATTTTAATATACTGTAATCTTTCAATTTTATTGATTTTAACTATGGAATATTTTCAATTTTCTCATATTTTATTCATTGTGGTTTAGGATTTTATATCTGTACAGTATAGATATACTTTCCTAAGATATTCTCTGAAAAAGTGTCCTCTTACTGTAATAGGGGTGTCCCAAAGTAGGGGTTCCTGTATTAAATGATATACACTGCCTTACCTTAAAATCAACGGTGTGCGCCTTTCCTTCATCCTTCCGCATTAATTTCATACCTTTGAGAGAATCCATCGCCTTTACGAAGCCAATATATTCCGTAAACTGTATGTATGCGTTAAATGTTATACTGCCCCCAAAGCTAAAGTTACCAAATTTCCCTCCAGTAATTTGGTTCTCATGGCGGTACGAGTCTAAAATTGGAATGTCTACATTTCGAAGCTCACCATACTGTTCAAATATTTTACGTACAATGAACTCACTTGGTTTGTCCGGGTCTTTTTTAGTGGAGAACCATTTACCTGGGAGATTTTCCAGATGGATAGTATCTGGCCGCTCACCAGGATTACATTCATTCATATCTTTAGCGTCACGGAAGAAAGAATCCCAGTCGTGTCTGGTTGGGTGAGGGACTTTTGCTTCAGCAGCACGAACCTTGAGCATCTCGGAAAACCCAGAGAGTTTGATGCTTTTGCCATCGAGACGAAGTATCAGGACTTTCAGCAAAGCTTTGGTTTCCACTTCAGCTTCGAAACGAATAAAATCCAGAGAGCTCTGCTTCACCCTCAAAATAATGAACTGGTCCGGATGCACCATGTTCTTCAGCTTCTCCATGACCTCCCAGTTACTGATGGATTTACCCGGAGACTTCAGTTGTGGCAGAGTCACAGAGATGCTCAATTTTGCGATGGGCTTCAGGTAGAGCTTCTGGGGCTCAAAGAGTTCTATTGCTTCAGATGTGTCACTGCAGAGTTGTGTTGTGGATGCCATCTCTGTGGGTCTAACCTCACAGTTCTGACGGAAGACAAGCTGTGGATCAAAATAATGGAAATTTAGTTTAAAATGTTTGAATGTCATTCACTTTGAAATTCTATTTTTATAGCACATTTGGACCTTGTTAGAATATCTCAGTGTTACAAATAAATTAGAAAATAGACATAGGCCAAATTATAATATCAAATGACACGGACAAGATGATAGGCCTACCCTGTACTGTATATGAGAATGATTTTGATAATAACAACAAACATATCAATGAGGGATGCTCCAGCGGTAAGGATATAGGTAGGGCAGCCTAATCTAGCCTAGTTCTAGTAGCAGTAACCTACACTATAGGAGGTAGGCTAGACCTGGGTCTGCTACTAGCCTACGCCTAGTCCCATATAGGCCTAGCCTAGGTAGCTAGGCCTAGGCTAGGCTAATATTAATAAGAAGCCGGCCTAGCGTAGTAGACTAGGCCCTAGCTCCTAGTCTAGACTCTAGAGGGCATAGGCCTAGCTAGTACTACTACTACTAGTAGTAGTAGCCTAGTAGGTGGTAGGAATATATTTAAGCAATGCAAAATAGGAACGCCAGCAAGTATACCTTTTGGATCTAACAGATCATCTGCTATACCATTGTTGATTTTAAAAAAGTATAAAACAATGAACAACATTAACAATCGTTATTTACCGTCTAACCATTTTAGAGAGGCTAGCAGCATTGAATGATAGATGTATGGTATGGAACGCCCATACTGCCTTCAGCAGATAGCTTAGAGTGAGGCTGCTGTGCATTCCATTCGCAACCCGTTTCATTCGGCGCATTTAGTATTCCATGGCGACTTACCTACAATCAAATTCTGCTCGGTTTCCCATTTTGCATTCGGTGGCTTCTTTGGCATTATTCTGCGACCAACATTAATTTGACTTACCATTCATGAACTGATTGGACTGACCAAGTTATTCGGTGACTCTATTGTATGGAGCGCCATCAGACATTGTGTCAAAGCAATGAAGATTCCTTGCTACCACAATTTAAATATATTTTTACTTGGAGGTTGGCATCCGAAACATAATGAAATAATGTATTAATTTTAATTAAAACACAATTATCAACTACAAATTCTGAACAGAAGTTTGCCAATAAGACTCTTCTTTGTCTCTGCAGTGCCCACAGCCCTCCCACCACCCTCGTAGTGACCAAAATAATAATCATAACATACGATACAGTATTATATTTTATCAATTCTTTGAATAATCACCACCAGTGCATCGAGGCGGCACCTGCCTGATGGTTAAGTAAACCCCTTTTAGCAGCAGTTTAGCTCAATAATATTAATAAACTGGCCGCGAAGTAGGGCCTACGCTAAACCTTGGTAAGCCATCATATGGAAAAATTTGTGGTGTTTTTTTTTCGCATTTATTTGCCTTCGCTGCTAAGAGGTTGACCTCTTTCCATGCCTGAATACCCAGGTGATGTTCCATTATTGAAAGGATGAACTCAAAAATACTAGAAATACAAGATAGAGCACTCGCATAGCAAAAGTGAGGCGGATATACTGTAAGTCACATCTTTTACGCAAATGCAGTCGTAAGCGGCGCCCTTTAGCTTTCAATGGGCCTATAGCAATTTACACACGTTTATCCAGTTCACATCAGACATCCTTTGCGCGTTTCCAATTTTACTTTTGTTTACTTATTTTGTTATTTGATTAAAGCCCCTTCTCGGCAAAATTTCACTAAAAATGATTTTTTTTTTTTTGAAAAAATGCATATGCATTACTTTATTTATTATAAACAATGGAAAATATTGGCATAAATTTTTTTTTTACTCAAAGGAATAACAAAAATGAGAAATACAGACTATTTCTTATAGGAGATTACCATTTTCTCGACGAATTCTTCGTTACTAGGCAAATTCAGAGGTTGTAGATCGCATCCGCTGAAATGCTCTCGCTTTTATGTAGGGCCTATACTTTATACGGTCAACAAAGTGCGCCCTCTCTAATGAAATAGATTTTTGTTCATCTTGATGTTTGTTTAATTGTCAAAATCTCGGTCAGAATAATTTTTTAACAGATTTGAAATAATTCCTTTGAAATATTATTCACAAGTGTCAATACTAGCAACGTTGTGTGGAACACACACACAAAAAAATCAAATTTCAGTCTTATTTTACATTTTTTTCATGTTTAGGAATGTCTAAATTTAGTTAAATTAGCAATTTCGAATTACATTTATAAATCTTTATAACATATATAAAAATCAGATTTTTCTTAACAACTTAAATCTTGCCAGGAATGGGGCGCTCTTCTCTTTCCGGTAATCCGCTAATGATGGAAACTTTATCACTAATCACAGTCCGGTCATACGATTCTACACTTTTGTGTCTGTTATTTTATTCTTTTGATTTATTTATGCCTACTTGTTTGTATCATAAGGGTGGCAACAATGTACCTCCACCAAACGGCCCGCCAAAAGAGGTTATGTATTCACCCGGGTACTCAAATCACCGTGATCACCGTGATGCAAAATTTGGCAAACGTTTTTTAGATCCAGCCGTACGCGGCGCCCCATTGTTTGTATTCTCACTATGCATTTCGGTGGAATAATTTCATTCTGTGGAGAACTCTATCTTGTGTTCCCAGACCTTTGATGAAATACAGTTCATGCACACACATAATTCGTCGCTCACATCACGAACTAACACAATTAAATTCAATTTTGTTAGTTCGTGAAATCAAAAAAGCGCGTCAAAATACGCGCTGTTGTCGTTAAGGCCTTTTTGTGTGGTAAAGAATACAAAATTGCTTGACAACCAATACGCGCTCGTTTTGACGCGCTACTGTGATTTCACGAACTAACACAATCTACTTTGATTGTGTTAGTTCGTGATGTGAACGACGAATATAAACCTACCAAAGTGAACTGTTACTAGACGGCCAGAAAATTTATTATTATGGCACCTGTATGGTTGTGGAGCTCAGGCATTTTGGATAATTTGAGGTCATATTTAATCGATTTTTGAAGATGCATACGGTTTTAGTGGCGGATCTAGGATTTGATGATAGGCCAGGGAGGAACTCCAAGATGGAGGAAATACCACTGTCAGTGCCGGATTTAGGGATTTGATATAGAGGGGTGGTGGGGCGGGGGGGTAGGGAATGATTTTACAGATTGAGAGCAATGCAGTAGAAGGCTATTGGGACGGTTGGGACAGTCCCACTCAATTTTTCTAATGGGTTCAAAAGGTGCAATTTCATGCATAAAATGAATCCATTTTATTAAAAATGGGTACAGATTTCTATTATTTAGCTTAAAATGGGTAAAATTTGAAGAAAATGTGTCCAGAATTTTTATATTTTTCCGTAAAATGGGTCAATTTCTAAAAAACTGGGTCCACATTACAGTATTTGAATTTACGTGTAAAGTGGGTCCACCCTGATATTGTACCGCAATGTTTGAAAATCTTGGTTACGGCATCGGTTGAGAGATAATGACACCACAGCCCCACCATAGTTGGGGGTTGACGCAAGAAAATTCATGATTATGGCACCTCTAGATGGCCGGAGATGGCACTCTCAGACTTAAATTTGAATATAAATTTCTTTTCTTTTAAAAAATAATTTTGAAAAATTAGGGGGTGTGGTGGTGATTTTTTAATATTCTACCCTCGAAAATGTGGACCTTCGGTAATTTGTGGGGGGGGGGGTGCGTGAGCACCCGACGCACCCCCCCCCCCCTGCGTACGGACCTGTGCATCATACCAGTGGTTTGAAGAAATGTCCTTTATTCATTTTCAAGGTTGGATTGTGAATTGTATATGGCCATTAGTATTTAAAAACTGAAATATCACTTACTCCAATAGTTTCACTTCCCAAATAGGACCCTAATATAAAACCGTAACTATTGCCCTCAACGACTAATTGCCCTATTATAACTATTCACAAAGCACATAACAGTAGTTCCTTTTGTTAAGAGTCACGAGCACTGAACTTGTTGGCGGTTTACCTTTCTAGTTTCTGGAAAAATAATGAAAGAATGACTAATTGAATGATTTCACATGTTTAAAATAAAATGTGGAATTTCCAAAATATTATTTCTTTCGAATGATCAAATAATTATTTTTAGGAACTGCTTATTGCAACATTTTATTGCCTGGAGCATTTCTCGCGTATCGTATCATTCGACTGACTATAAGTCGTAATATCAGTCATTGAACAACGCGATCACGTCCAGACAACGGAAGTCAATGCTTCAAAACAAGATGTGGCCAACAGGTATTCCTCGCTATTTCAAACGGGAGTTTTTATGTTTGCTGTTGATTGGTATCGTTTTATGTTATGGACAGACAGGTAGGTAAAACGAAGCAGCATGGCGATGACAGATTTGATCATGATAATTGAACTATAACTTCAAATACTTTGGAGTTTATTTAAGATAATATTTTTTTTTCTTTTTAATATATTTATTTATTCTTTTTCCTCCCCTTTCCTTTTTCTTAAGTTCCTTTCCTCCTTTCAGCATTCCGAAAACTGTGAATGCGTTTATGGGTGGGCACAATAGGGGGCGCTCCATATCTTACATAAATCATAGTATCGTAGTAATGGGCATCTTCCCGATGCAAAAATTAGTATAGAAGTTAGACAAAAAAAAAAAAAAAAAAAAAAAACTAAGGAAATAAAAAAAAAAAAAAAAAAAAAAAAAAAAAAAAAACTAAGGAAATAAATAAAACAGAATATACAAAATGATACAATTATTTACCAAAGTTAGTTATGGTTTATCTATTTAAATCATCATGGATTGAGTTAAGAATGAAATATCTTCTTAATATGTTTGTATTGGACTTAAATTGGACGTAAAGGTGTATTGCAAGAACATAGGATGGGACACGTCATGTATCGAGTTTCTTCAGTACAATTTTTGTATACATGTCCTCAAAATTATCGACATCATAGCCGATAATTTTAAGCAGTGGCGGATCCGGGGGGTTTAGGGGGTTCAGACGAACCCCCCCCCCCCACCTCTGTAAAGAAACGTAACAAAATAATACTGGGTCCTGGCTTACAAAATTCATGCTAACTAGACGCGGATCTTCGTAGTGGCGAGCAGTCTTGCGATTTTATTGCAACCAACCGTTGATTATGTGACGGAAACCCGAACTTCTGCAGGGGTTCCGTAATAAGCAATACCGTATATAGGCCTAGTCGCGTAGGTCCTATAAGGTGACCGTGTATAAGACGACCCTCATTTTTTAGAAGATTTTTGGTTGATATTTGTATGTCTGGCGTATAAGACGACTCCCTGTTTCATGGTCGGAATTCCTAATTTTTTGTGGTCCTAATACTGCATCTAGCTGGATAAGAGCCAAATGCAAGGGTAATCTTCCAAATAATACCATTTTATAAGTGTTTAAATCTTCCCCACCAAAATAGTATTTTCCCGTAGGCCCCTATTTAAAATTGCTTTCATTCATATAACATTTAGTTGCTTCTTTGCAGTAGTAAGTTTGCGTGTTATGGACAATCCGCACATAAGACGAACATGATTATAAAAATCTAAAATTTGAATGTCGTGCGTATAAGACGACCCCTTGCTTTTCGATCGTAATTTGCTATTCTAAGCCTCGTGCTATACGCGAGTATATACGGTACGGTTTTAAAACCCTAGGTCACCTAAACGTTAGAGGATTCCCCCATCAGGGGTTCCAGCCCGTTGCCACCCGGGCCCGTTGCCACCCGGCCTTTTGCCACCCGGCCCGTTGTCACCCGGCCTTTTGCCACCCTAGGCCTTTAATAATAATAATAATAATAATAATAATAATAATAATAATAATAATAATAATAATAATAATAATAATAATAATAATAATAATAATAATAATAATAATAATAATAATAATAATAATAAGAATAATAATAATGTCGTTCTTATATAGCGCTTCATGCCTTTACAAGGCCTCTAAGCGCTTCACATTACTACCCCGGTCATTGGATCAAACACATATGGAACACATTGAACACCAAATTAAATTAGTAAATGAAATTATATTATCATTCCATAATATTGCAGCTAGTAATCAGCGCAGGTTGTGTTGGAACCTACCAGGTACCCACTTGTCTCCTGGGTGGAGAGAGACAACCGTAGATAAAGTACCTTGCCCAAGGACACAAGCGATTTGCACAGCCAGAGTTTCGAACCCCCGACCTTAAGGTTGGGAGTCCAAGCCACAACCGGTGCGCCAACCGCTTTAGCCACCCGGCCTTTTGCCACCCTAGGCCCGTTGCCACCCAGGCCTTTTGCCGCCCGGCCTTTTGCCACCCGGCCTGTTGCCACCCGGCCCCTTGCCACCAGGCCCCTTGCCACCCTAGGCCCGTTGCCACCCAGGCCCGTCGCCACCCTGCCTATTGCCACCTTTGGGAATGTCGAATATTTATATTATTTTGGTGGGTTTTTTACACAGATTTGCACTAGTAGGCCTACTGTAGAATTTTTTCTTGATTAAATTTACTTTCCAGTTTAATATTTAATTATTATTTACTGTATTTTATTTCAAACAATCGTCCATGTGCCTTCTTACCACCAGGAGAAAATTGCAGAAATAAACATTGTTAGAAATCCGCACAAAAAGAGACATACTTCAGTGTCTAGTTTATTTTTATATTTTATTTTTAAGTATATTCTTATTCTAAAATAGAAAGGAATAGCGTGCTTTTACAATTGAAAAAACAACACATTTATGATAATAATAGCAGGGAACAGTGAAATTTCACCGTTCCCTGATAATAGTTAGTATAACCACAAGCCTATATTATGTGTGTATAATTAACTTTATAGAATTTATTTGGTATTTCCCTTTTTATGCGGACAATTTATTACAAGCATAGGCCTGAATATTTTCTCATGAGAAATAAACGTCAATGATAAACTTTGGATAAAGCCCTTCTTGTTAGCGGTAAACTACAAAGGATATTGCGCTCAGTGATCTAAGCAAACTAATCCTCCTGATTGTTTATACCGTGACTATAGGGCTATTGTTCAGATTATAGGGTCCTCAAGTTTAATTGGTCAGTTGGACATTTCCCCCACCCGTGTTTTTCTTTTGGTATACCAGAGCTATATATGATCATACATTTGGTTTAATATCTGAAAAACAACAAAATTGTGAGAGGTATATATGTATGAGCATAGGCCCATTCATATAGCAGTATAGCAGCATTAACATATTAACATATTGAACATGTTAATGACAATAGCTTATCATTGCTATTGTCATCATTGTCACTATTATGTTCATTATTATTTCCACACTCACAGGCAAGTCAATTAAAACAATTAAAAAAAAATCTGTCCAATTAATAACACTGCAAGAATTTTAATTCATGATGTTCTGCCTTCACAAAAAATGTAAAAAAACATACACACATTCACACTAACTAAAAACAGTACCTACTCAGAAAAATAATATGGGCCTATACATATATGCACGTCTGAATACATACAAAGAAAGATAGAACGCTAATCAGGAAGCTACTTCATAAGTGTGCCTTTCTTGATAGTTAACCGCAACGAATTGTCGTTGTTTACAATCTGCCAAACAATCAATTCATTTTTTTCAGTACGTGCACATAGTTTTGTAAAAATGGCAAGAGTAACATTTCTGCGAATACAATGCACAAGGGGGCAACGGGCCGGGTGGCAACGGTCCGGGTGGCAACGTTCCGGGTGGCAAAGGGCCCATGGTGGCAACGGGCCGGGTGGCAAAGGGCCCATGGTGGCAACGGGCCGGGTGGCAAAAGGCCGGGTGGCAACTGGCCAGGAGGCAACGGGCCTAGACCCCCCCCCCCCATCAGTGGCGGATTCAAGGGGGACATTTTCCTTGGGGAGGACCCCCGCACCCCCTTTAATTTTGGGTATTTTTGGAAACGTTTTGAACCCCACTCTTTCAAATCCTGGATCCGCACCTGAAAAGATTTCAAGATTCCGAGTATTTTATGCTTATTGTTGCTGTATCATAAAATACAGTTGCTAACAAGTACTGTATATTTTGGGGCGTTTTTTAGTAATCAATGCTTTTTTTTTTCTTTCTTTATTCCCCCTCTCTTTCTACTCCCCACTTCCCACCCCAAATCATCTCCTGATATGTAGAAGATTATTTTAACATTATAGAGCAAATGGCTGGCAAGTCTTGAGTAGGCTTAAAGAAAGGTTATAAGGTATTTTCTTGTCAATGACCACCAGATTTTCTAATAATAATAATTATTATTATAAAGCAATGGAATTCACCTCAACGTAATTTTAAATTACATAGAATAATTCCTGGGGTGTCGGCTAACTCGTACACATGCCAACTCGTACCCATGCCAACTCGAACACAAATTTAGGCGAACTCACACGATTGGTGATCACGCATGAATGTTGGCTAACGCGTACACGTGACTTTTGGTGAACTCGTTCCCAAATGCATTTATGTCGTTTATGCGAGATCTATAGGCCTATTTTGTATGTTTTTTCCCCAAATTATTTATTGTGATATATTTAATGATATTATTTAATTATAGTTATTTCTTCTTGTCTATATCATGATGTATGGTTTTAAAAAATAATTGCTAAAAATGAAGCACATGATTGTAATTATATAGGATAGGTTAGGTCATTGGTTTATTAAACTAATCTTTAAGTATAGTATTGTAGGCTACAATCATTTGTACTTTATTTTTGGTCAACAAAAAAGAAACTGAAAATACTGAACTGAAATCACCACACGTTTATTATCAACTTATTTATTTATCTAACAAAACATAATAGGCCTACATGTTAGAATACTAAGCCTACAGACAAATAATTATAATACTACAGGCCTATACCTGAAAAAACCAAAACTAATTTTAATTATTAATTATATGTGGAATTTCCACAAATTATATTTTGCATGATCGAATATTTAACTTATTTTTCACACAATCAAACCATGGAGGAAATATTATATTTCCTCCATGATCAAACCAACATTCTCGCATAACACGTCATTAAACTGACAAACTACCGGTAAGATCAGTCATTATTCTCAACAACGCGATCACAGACAACGGGAAGTCAATGCTTTAAAACAAGATGTGGCCAACAGGTGTTAATCGCTATTTCAAACGGGAGTTTTTATATTTGATGTTGATTGGTATTGTTTTGTGTTATAGACAGACAGGTAGGTAAAGCGAAGCAGCATGACGATGACAGATTAAATATGCGCGACCAAAATATGAGGGGGCGTGGAATTTATTTTCGTTGGCCACGCCCACTGAAAATATTGCTTCTTAGATTACCGAACACACGTTAACCGTGACAGCATAAGCATAAGCATAAGCCTAGCCTAATTTTTTTGCTTCGAAGTTTTCGAATTGGGGGGGGGGGGGGGGGGGGGGGGCGCACGCCCCTTCCCCTTCCCTTGGATACGCCACTGAGTTTACCTAGTTCGTCATGCATAATTTCAGTAATACTATTAATGTTTTTACCATTACAAAAAGGTAGTTGCCTCGTCAGCAAAATATTTTTTGCTGGCTGTATAGATAATATCTTGATGAAAATGAAAACCAAAAACAAAGGTTCCGCTCAACATTTTTCCATCTGCATTTGATTTCAATCGCTTTAAACACCATGAACAAATAGGGAAGCAACAGGCTATATATTTGCTAGGTTGGTTTTATGAATATTATTAAAACGTGTCAGCTACTATCTGTTAAGGAATGTGTTTTGTCACCCAATTATATATACCATTGTCTGCAAAGTAAACATTCGCTTATTTTGCTTCTTTGACCTGGCTATATTGAAAGTCACAATAATTTATACACGCACAATACCGCAGTCGTAGATCTGTTTTCTACAGACTCGGTTATAATATTGTGACACATGAGATGAGAGCCCAACAAATCCAAAAAATTTGCTTTTAATCGATGTTTTAAAAATTGATGTTTTAATGTGAACCGAAATTATTGGCTACATTTCCAAAGTGCCAATCAAACTTACTAATCCCCATACAAAAAAATTCTATAGAATTCTATCAAAAAAAAACTATAGAATGTCTATAGCATAATTGTTTAGAAAATCTATAGAAAATTCTATAGAAATAACTATAGAAGCCCACTATAAAAAGTCTATTAAAAATCTATTAAAACTATATTAAAAATCTATTAAAACTCTATTAAAAATCTATATATATATTTTATATATATTTTCTATAGACTATTAAAAATTACAGTTTTTAAAATGACTGTTTAGAATATTATACAGTTCTACAGAATATACTATAAATAAATAAACTGTCTCTTATCCACATCTAGATGTGTATAAGAGACAGCCCTATACTATAAATAAATAAATTTATATTGAAATTTCATATATGTTATACTCTATATAGATTTTATATGTTCCTATAGAGATAATCCCTATAAAATTGTTATAATACATTAAAAAAAATACAGATAAGGACTATAAATTTTTATAGAATAATTATAGAAATTGTATAGTTTTATTATAGAGAACTTGTCATATCATTTGTATAGATTATTCTATAGAATTTCTATAGAATATGCAAGATGTAAAACATGCTGGTAGGAATATACTGGTCAGACACGAATGTGTCAATAAAATATTGAATGAAACAAAAAAAAATTAAAAACATAGAAATTACATTATATATGTGTATATAGTATGTTATAGAATTCTATAGAAACTAGTGCTTCTATAAAACAATTTTATAGAAAATACTAATTTCTGTAGAAATTGATTAGTCTCTATAGAAGCTCTATACAGTTCTATAGAATTTTTTTGTATGGGTCAAAACAGGGCTAGGAACAAGTGCACGTCCCTCACACACACAAAACATGTGGTTACTCAACAGTACGCAGCCGTTTTCTCGTACCTTAGCAACGATATAGCTAAGGGGCGGGGCTTAGGGGAATGTCCATGGCACGTGTATGAGTCTTTTTAAAATGCGTTTTTAGAGGCAACATAATAAAAAAAAATTTTTTTAAACTTACAATTACTATACTTTGTCATTTTCCTGCATGCGTTACAGTAAGTACTTTGCTTTTAAATATTTTTAGGCAATGGAGGGCTTGCTGATGGAGAATTGGACGCGGTTGTGGAGTACGTAAAGCCGCATGAAACATTCATTCCTACTGCTACAACTGATCCATTACTGGGCCAGATAGTAGGCTACCGATTTCAGCTGGATGCGGATGGTAACGAAGCGGTATTCAATAGGGTTTTTAGTGGAGTACCTGACTTCACATCAGTGAGGGACGGGTATATAAGTATTTCTGAGGCGCAAGCAACGGAGTTACTGAAGGTGAGAGTTTTATATTAAATCTAACTACAGACGGTAT